GGTAACACAGGCAACAGCATCTTAACAGATGTCATGGAGCAACTTTAGTATGTTTACGAAAGTCTCTGCACCCGAGGAGGGTCTCATCACAACACATCGGGGTGTCATGTTCAAAGTGTGTAAAGATGAAATAGTCCTACCAGTATGGTAAGATGCGGTTATTCCTCAAAGCAATTTGATACGTTTAGACAATCCCAGAAAGTCGCTGAAGCAGTGCTGAACTCGGTAAACACTGCTGTGAATATTTTCACTTCGTAATTATCAGTTAAATGTCCCAAATTTCCGAAGTTGAAACCTTCCTGAGCCAACAAGAGCGTTCGTTTGCTTAAGGAAATTAACCCGGAAAGCCACGAATGTTTACGAAGACAACATTCATCGCCAATTTCCTAGTTACTTCACGATTAGGCTTACCGAGTGCATGGACAGATATTGGTATTCTAACTTCAACGCAATACATCTATTTACCAGTCAGTACAACGTATCACAAATATAATTGCCAACCGGTTACTCACAACTGAGCCTTTGGTTTCTGGTACTGTTTAAAAAAAGGTAAGCACGCTGAGTTGCTTTAAGGTCTACAGCTTTGCAAATGCAAACAATCAGGCCCAACCCCTTTTTTATACTCTATCGGGATGTCAACTGAAGCTCACTGTAAAATTCATCACGGACAAACGGGATTTATTCCCCGGGAAACCATCAAATTAACGTTTCGCCCTCTGTGTTGGTGGCAAATAATTTTAAAAAGCTGTGGATTTCTTTCGAGAAAGGAATGAACCAGACAACACAATTAAGCTGGAATACTTGAGATCACGGTAAACAAATACGACAGCATTAGCCTACGACATGTCTGTGTTTCAACGTTAAGTCGTTGTTTCTAAGCAAGGTTAAGGTCTTAACATGTTCATAAAGTTGTCAAAACAGACTTCTCAAATGGCAATCAGAAGGTATGATGAAAACAGAAGACAATTGTATGGATTTCCAAGCTTTTGTATATGGGATAAGATACATATGTTTCGATACAGATTCTCGTATGGTTGTCAGGTATACAGACACAGCTGCTTGACAACAGTACAACTGACTGTTTGGTTTTACGCCGCTTTTAGCAATATTCCAGCAACATCACGGCGGGGAACACCAGAAATGGGCTTCACACATTGTAACCATGTGGGGATTCGAACCCGGGTCTTCGGCGTGACGAGCCAACGCTTTAACCACTAGGCTACCCCACCGCCCCGGTCATTCTAATTGGGATTGTGTACTCTGCAGCGTCTTCCCTAGCCTCCGAGAAACATACTGCCTTTCACAAAACACCAGTAACTTACAGACTGCATCTGACAACTCTTGTCAAGCACTTTTATGTCAAATCCGGAAGTTTTTGTAGTTGCCAGTGAGGTGTTGCAGCATTCACGAACAAACATGATTGAAATACAGCTTACCTTCTCTTCTCGCCCTTGTGCAGGCATTAATCCATTTCAAAGGTTCAAGGGGCGTTTTGGGTAGCATAGGTGTTAAAGCGTTCACTCTTCACACTAAAGGCCCTGGTTCGATTCCTCCCCTGGGAACAGTACATGAGGCCCATTTTTTTGGTGTCCGTTATATTGCTGGAATATTGCTAAATCGGCGTAAAACCAAACTTGCTAAGTTTCTTTCCATATACAACCACACGGTTAATTGCTGCATCATCGAATTGTAAATGAGAGTAGCGCCCCTTGGAGCAGGCGAGCAGACGGTAAAAGCGCCCCCTGACGGACTACATCGTTTCATCGAATGGGTTGATGAATCACTAGTGTTATTTCGGCACATATTCCCTTCCACAGACGCGTCTGCATGAGGACTTTGACAACATCAGGATTTTATAATGTTAAGTCAGAGATAGATATGTCGGACGTCAACTGGAATCAAACGGAGAATGAGATACAGCACATTAACTTGCGAGACTTGGATAATCAAACTCTTTAAACGGAGCTACCAGTGAACGCAACCGACATACATAGTAACACAAGATCTAAGTGAATAAACATTGACAGTTGAGAATGATAGGCTGCTTACAATCATTATCATAAACTTGTGTTTGTTATGTAACGCCACACTCAGCCATATTTCAGCTATATGGCGGCGGTCTGTCAATAATCAGTCTGGACCAGACAATCCAGTGATCAACAGCATGAGCATCAATCTGGGATACGATGGCACGTGTCAACCCGATCCTGCTAGCTGCCTCTTACAACAATCACGAGTCGCTGACACTGGGCACAACTGAGGGAAGCGGCCATTATTCCAGCACTGTTGCGCAGTGGAAAATATAACGATTGTGCGGAGCTATGCAAATTAACTGAAAACCTAATCAACTAAAATTTTGAACTTACCTTTTGGCCTAAAACAAGTAACTGAACGTGACAACTACTATAAGTGAGAAAACTATGGATGATTTACAAAGAACAAAACGTAATTCTCTTAAGTGATTCTAAAAGAACTTTGAAATGAAATTACCCGCTAACTACCGCTAATTGCCTAACGTTTAAACATACTAATGCAAGTTCAACAAACTAACGCCACAATAGCCAATTGAACCTACACATCTAACAACAAAGTCATTCGTAGTCTAAATGCCTAAACACAAACTGGAACGAATAGCACCGAATGGCAGAAAGGAGCAAATGCCCGGTGTATCGCTGACCACCGTCTTATATATGCAAAACCTATTCGTTTTTCACGTGCACTCATCTCCAGGTGTGTTCAGGCGATACGTCTCCCACTGAGTGCGTTTGAGCGAGCAGTTTTATTGATAAAACCAAAATGCCTTCAGAACAAGCACTTCACGCTAATTGTGGAAATAATTTTGGATGACATCTTCTCAACATCCTCGAAAAATATTAGCATCAAGACGTAATTCTCTACGAGTGTTGAATCTTCTTTGTTTGGCATTTAGAGGGGCGGTGGGGTAGCCTAGTGGTTAAAGCTTTCGCTCGTCACGCCGAAGACCCGGGTTCGATTCCCCACATGGGCACAATGTATTAAGCCCATTTCTGGTGTCTCCCGCCGTGATATTGCTGGAGTATTGCTAAAAGCGGCGAAAACTAAAACTCAGTCAGTCAGTCAGTTGTTTGGCATTTAGAAGTTGGTGTGATTAATAACTTGGAGAGTTCTATGGATATACAACTTTTTTTTATTATTAACATAAGCATGGCAGGAGGGAATATTTCAGTCGACCATTTATGGTGACATGTTATAGTCTGTTTACAGTGAAGACAAACCCATGAAATTAAGATTGCATATCCTCATAATTTTACTTTGCCAATTGAACATTTAAGTCTCAGAATTTTATTCAACTTAGGATAAATGTTGTTTAACAAACGATCGTTGTTTCAAATCGCTATAATTGTTTCAAATCGCTATTATTGTTTTGCATTACAGGGGTACGCACGTTAAATGAAACACCGACAACAAGTAGGGTTGGTCTAAGTTAACGCTCATCACGTAACGCACGTGCATTTGTTTCACTGTTTCAACTATTGCGCTTACCCCCTTGTAAGGCACACCAATAATGGCAATTTGAATCTATGATCGTTTGTTAAACGACTTTTGTCCTAAGTTGAATAAATTCTGAGATTTAAATGTTCAATTGCGAATACTCATAAACTTAACTTTGCCAATCCTAATTTCACTTTATTTGATTTACTTCTTGGTTTAAAGTGAAATTCATCGGTACGTTTTCACTGCAAGACTATAGCGTAGTTGCTTTGCCTGTCAAGGGCAGATAATTTTACATGTACAGACAATCTGAATCCAGGAAAAGCATTCAGACGAGCAGAGACATTTGTCAAGTCTCGCCCCTTTCCGTAACATCCAAGACGATTTGGCAACGGACAACTAACACGGGCCAGCCAGTCGAGGCGGTATAAGACAATGTAAAAGAGTTATTACGGAATTTATATAATCTATTCGCAAGATCCTTGTTGGTCACAATTCCAGCTACTACAGATTATCGTATAATCTGGCTCAAATAGCTATAAAGTAGATGTGAACTATACTCACACGCAAAAAAACGCAAGTTTTTATCCAAATAGGAAACAAACTCGGAACCCTAAACTGATATGAGTATTTGGCATACAGTGAAGCCTGGTGATGTTATCAATATTTTCTTTGCGTTTTGGAAGGCTCTAGCAGAAACACATCAAAAGAAGGAATCACCAAAACGCTCCATACCAGTGAACATCATACACACACTTCTTGTGAAATCGAACATGCACGAATTGTCACCACCATTAATGTGCAGAAGACTGTAAACAAAGATTGGGCCTATCACTCCTTGTTTAACAACGCCACGCTTAACTCAAATTGAAAAAAACCCAGGGTCACACTAGGTACTGACTGACATTGGCTATTGACCAGAACCTGTGTAATCCCTTTACCTTTAGAAAATTTAATGATGTCATCAGTCTTTGCCGAAATGAATTGTCTCAACTCAATTGTTTGTCTATCTGACCCTGTTGGCATTTCTTGTATTTAATGGAGAAAATTATATACATATATACCTTATACTAGACTTGCGTTTCTTTTGCGTGTGAGTATATATAATGGGGCTATTTCATCAAGGAATTGTGTAGTTTAGTCAGATGTGGGTATTATTGATTGGTATCCCTGCATTCCAGAAATGTTGGATGTGTTGCAGCAAGTTGACTGTGTTTTGTACCAGGCCCCTTTGACACAAAGACAAAACCAAGTTGGGAACATGGCCACGACAGAGACACGAGTCGCCATTCACCTGATCGCGGATTGACGAGTTCTCACGAATGCAATTGCCACTGATGTTGCAAAATGGCAAAGTTCAACAGAAGATTAAAAAATACGCTAAATAAAAACTAAAAAGAACAATCAAAACTTTAGTTTTGTATTCACAATCTTTTCATATTCAAATACAACGAAATTATTCAAGTATCACTTGGTGATTCTTTTAGATACAAAATATTTTGTACAAATGTTTAACAAAAGGATCAAAACGTTTTGCCTGATATATACTAATAACATAGTAATGATAACATGTATTCCACACTTTCTTCAACCGGCTCATTTTCGGAATTCACGTGTATAACGTCCCCTTAGAAAAGGGCTAGCACAATGATCTTCTGCTTTACCATAATCAGCGCATTCTACTTGCGCATGTCAAATTGTCCACATGACCTCAGTTTCCAAAGACAGTACCAAGTTATAAGACGTGTCACCCTTGTTTGAAACATCGAACCCCTCTGCATGGTAAGTTGAACCTGGCACAGACCTGGCAGACGGAGTCGAGAATCCTTCCAAGTATGGAAACTGAAAAAAAACCCAAGTGTATCAGCTGAAAGCATGATTCATGTCTAGTCCAGCCACATGACGTCGGAGGCGACTAACGTCATCGCTGACTTGGCTGATGCATGTTATCATATCACAATTGCCTAGATCGATGCTCATAATGTCACTGTGGGCGGTGGGGTAGCCTACACGTGGTTAAAGCGTTGGCTTGTCACACCGAAGACCCGGCTTCGAATCCCCACATTGGTACAATGTGTGAAGCCCATTTCTGGTGTCCCCCGCCGTGATGTTGCTGGAATATTGCTAAAAGCGGCGTAAAACCAAACTCATTCAGTCAGTCAGTCATAATGTCACTCACTATATTGTCTGGCTCAGACTCGAGTATGTACAGACCGTCGATATATAGCTGGAATATTGCTGAGTGCGGCGTTGACAAAAATTACAGATGCAGATGAGCGAAATGCGTTGTTAGACAATACCAAGTTGTAGATGGTTCTCATGGCGTAAGATTCAAAAGGATGAACGAGTGGTCTAAAGTGCGACGTTAAACGAACAAATCAAAACTGACGTACGAAGGAAAGTCCACACCTGGTACTTTGGGTGTTTTTTTTCTAAATGATAACTCAGATATTTTGGAAGGTGTTACAAGTTATATACGCTGTGTACCTGTGGATAAAACACCACATATATCGCAGCCAATTGCGATGCTGACAGCGCAAGACCAGGTGTGTAGTTTCTTTTGTTCGTCAGTTTATTTAACTTTGAAATATCGAAGTAGTTTCTGATTACCCATTCTGTTGGGAAAAGCATTACCGTGAAGCTATTAAAATCAACATGACGTAAACAATGACACGCAGTGACAATACTACTATCTGGTAAAACAACATTCATTCAATTGCGTACCTCCGTAAAAGTCATGTTTTAAAAGCATACTGTGAAGCGTCTTTGCTGTATTTACAAGTTGCCAACTTCTGGAACTAAATTAACAGTCATCGTAATAATTTGTAATCAAACTCATTGGTGAAATCGAATTAAAAGTGCTGCTTGCTCGAAAGCGGCCTAAACGCAACGACTATGTCAGGTCCGATATATAGTGGTTACTGATAGTCCTAGCGCTAAAGTCGCTTTGAGTAAGTGGACCCTGGGGTAATAGAATGTCTCCAGTGAGCTACTAGACTATATCAAACTCTCGAACATACGGTACCTGTTTTCGAGTATTTATCATATAGAGGAGGCCCTCTCTCTTCTGGAGGGGCTCCATCCACGAGAAGACCACACACCACCAGAATGAGTACACATGTCCGTACGTCCATCTTCTAGTCTCAGTCGAAGCCTAAAGAAGTACCCGGTTGAGAAGACGTCTTTACGTACAGCTTTTTGTAACAGCCAGTCGCCTCTTGGATAAACACAATGTAACTTCTTGGTTCATATCTATTTATAGTGACAACTCATATCCTATGCCACGTGCACCTTCCTGCGAGAGCTTTTGTTTGATCTAGCAAAATAATATTTACCAACGTTTATGACGCATTTTTATATAGACTAATGAATGGGTTTGGGCACCTTTTCACAGTTGTTCATGATGTTAGGTATTAGTTAAACAAAATATTGACATTGAAAAGTTTACCAAGTGAAGTGCCATTCATGTGAGACGTTTCCTACGTCATCGTATTTCGAGGAGCCCATTGTGGTTTTTATTAACATTTTTCCAAGAATCCAGTCAGCCAAGAATTCGTTTTAGCGGGAATGAAAATAACTGGACAATGAAAGGAGAGCGTATCCCACGACTCAAAGTGATTCAATGTATTTACAAAGGACAGGTAAACCTCCTCTGTGCAAACTGAACTCTTGTTTGAAGAACATGACATTTTCCTGCTTGACAACCTTACCATATCCTGTATTGAAAAGTGGCACCCACGAATTAAAAAGTTGCTATCCAAAAGTTTGTTTATATTTTACTTCCCAATTTCTAAAATGCCACACAAAGACGTTGTTTGAAGACATTTATGTTACTTTGTTACTTTGTATCTGAAACGACGCTATGACTGAGAGAAGTTTGAGAAAACAATTCGCCCGTCTTTGTATAGTGGCCGTCATTAATTCGCTTTACTCTACTTCTCATGATCACAAGATCAATAAGCCTGCCACTTCCTGGTCCGTGTTTGATCAGATGGCTTGAAGTAACACCTTCATACACGAGGTAGGTGGTCGAGCTGGCAGATACAGAGCAGAATGCATTGCTCTTGTATATATTTTGTTGAGAGCTGAATCGTGTCATCCCAAAATTGGACCGAATGGGGACTTTTTTCTCACTCCCGAGTTATTTCTTAATATGATTACCAGTTAGATCGTCAAAAGAGTCCTACATAGTTGTCTACAGTTGACAAAGTTGTCTACAGATTTACATAGTCGATTACGAAACTTTCAACGGGTGATACTATTGTGACAAAATGCACCAACATGGCCGCCAACAAAGTTGGGAACAGAACTCTCGGATTCGAACCCACCGTACACCGACAGAAAAGCAACAATATAAAAGCACTAGAACCCATAATAACACAAAAATGACGGAAACTAATGTTAGCAATAGTCCAGCTATATGATGAAGACGGACTGCAAATTGATAAATCTTGACCAGTGATTAATCTAATGAGCGCCGTCATGGCTCATGACATGAAACCAACCAAGTCACCGAGTCTAACCAACCTATCACATTAATAGACATGCAGCGATTTCTAGATACATAAGCATTGTCAAACGGATGGTAGTTAAGATGGTAGACAACAGTGCCCAGCTTTATTTTTGCATGTTAAAAATAGTCAAAATTATTCAATTAAAAAACTAATCACATGACATGGCGGTCACCGTGACCGAGTGACCCTATCTGTCATCCGCAGACAAAGTGGAAGACGGACCGCTATTTTCCATCGTCAGTATAGTCCTTGGTGGTCGGGTGGCCGACGCCTGCCGTCAGATGTGTGCGCCTGTCGGTGAAGTTTTGTACCCACTGGTACTGCACGTGAGGCCAGGTCAGTGACCTACATTGGGAACCGGTGCCGTTGTACAAAACAACTTTAGCGCTAAGTCTACTTTAAGTTACGGTCACCTCAGCGCTAAGATAGCTTTGTACAATGGCACCCCGGAGGCGTGTTCATTGACTGAAGTGAACTTCACTTCATTTCATTCAAGGCTACAAGTATACAGAGGTCCATATTTAAGATGGTCTAAGATGCTTTACTAAAGGATCAAAGTCGCCGACAGTACTTTATCAGGCGATAAAGTACACTTTTGCATTTTAGGTCCCTTATATTAATCGTAATTAACCTTAGACAGTTTTCAATTTGGCATCTCAGAAAAGAAATACAGTTCGCTCTACCACAATGCATATATAGTGTAATCGTCCCCATTGACCTTAGTATGGCGATCTAACATCAGTTGCTGGCGATCCATGGCCCGTTTTAATATTGTACTGTTCTTTTTAATAATATCTGTGATCAATAATACCTTATCTGTGATCAATAATACCTTGTCTGTGATCAATAATACCTTGTCTGTGATCAATAATACCTTATCTGTGATACACTAGTATTGTTATTGTTCATCGTCATCAGCTTTTAATTTCTAAATTTATTGATCTTTAATGTGATACAGGGGCGTAGGAACGGTTTTCAGAGCGGTGTGTGTGTGTGTGTGTGTGTGTGCGCGTGCGCGTGCGTTCGTGTTCGTGCGTTCGTGTTCAACGAAAATGGTGTAAGCTAACAATGGGACCTGTTTAACATCATCAAAGTCATCATCAATAGTATCAGTTTCACGTCAACAAGCGACCGCGGTTAACGTCAACGATGATATATCATCATTTTACGTGTGCTTCGTATGGGCTTGTTTTTTTCCTTATGGATATCACATGTTATTTAGGGTATTTTAATGGAGAGTCTCGCTTTGTATACGGTTTGTTGTCTTAACACCTTACATCTAATGTAAATATAGTATCGCCTTCAGTGAAGAGAATACCCTTCTCGAATATCAGCCGAAAGATCTAGAGATAAAGAAATAAAAGAGGGCACACAAGCAAAATGATGGTGATACTGTATATGAATATATCGAGGATAAAATAGCGGACGGGTGTTCTCAAAAAGGATAAGTTTATTTAGCTTTAACCATGGTGTCTGTTTGGAATAAATAATTCTGTCATTATTCACATGCTTTTTTCTTATTGTCCACATACAAAACATATATATATATATATTTACCTAACGGTATTTTAAGTCCTTTCTGTTAAATTACAAATTAATTTTATCATCTCTTGGCTTACATGGAATAAAAGTTGATTATATGAATAGATCGATGATAATTATCGAAGTCTTGAGGTGTTTGCGAAAAGAGTAGCAATACCAAGACTGGATATAAAAATTTGGTCATCGACTCATTGGGTCATATTCTAACACGCTATTTTTGAGGGCGATAGAGAAATAGATAGCGGTTTGGGGTCTGGAGTGTGGATTGTGGGTTGTGGAGTGTAGTTGTTTTTAACATCGCGACTATTCAGAGAAAGAAATATAGTACACTTGGTTCGAACCCAGGACATTCAGAGCAACTAAGGACGCTAATAGCTAATTACTGAACCCGACCCATCAGCATGACAACGCAAAGTCTATCTGCTCAAACTCAGAGTGTTAGTGAGGGTACCGGTGTCATTAATCATTAAGATCTTAAGTGGGTGAGTTTACTCCAGTGTACTCTTTTTCGTTTGATTACGGTATGGTCTGGCGTCGACATTTAAATACAGCAATGACGCCTCCTAGAATATAACCAATCCGCGAGGACATGTCTAACTAGCCGGACACCTATAACAGTTGACAACCTAGTAAATGGGGAACACTGGTAGTTTGACAGACTATGGAACTGTTACAAAGAGAGTTCTAAAGATGTTTAATCGCCATCAAGAGAAACGATGTTAATTACGAGATGAATTGTCAACATCAAGCTATTTTAGTGAAATATGGAAGGTCTCGTAAGGTAACAGGATAGTCGATCCATTTCCCTCCATTTTGTGTCTGTCCCTTTAGTTCATCGCGCCATCTACCGGCAGGAAGATATATTCTTCTCATTGTCGCCCCTTGTTCCACAACAGGTGCCACCAATACATCATCACCAAGCAGAAACTGATCATCCACGGTCAGGGCTGCTTCATCTGTGGGCGCTATCCACCACAGGGGCCTGTTGATAGGGTAGCCTGTCGTTAAGGAGTCGTTAGCCAGACCTATGATCTTGTCAGCATACTTCGCATGGAGTTGAACCATCTCCTGAGCTACTTCTATGACAGTGATGTTGTTGTATGCCCAAGGTTCCAGTGAGAACTGCATAAGTGGCATGAGAGCGTTGGCTTGTACCCATCTGATAAACAGCTCAGGGTCTGGGTATGCAACATAGCTATTTCCTCCAATATAATCCGGCAGAATGAATGGATATCCCAGTAGTCCGAAAGTCAAAACATTAGTTATTATGGTCCTAAATCCTTCCTGGAAGGTCCAGATTGAATTCTTATCCAACGCCCTGACATATATGGGAAGGTGCTGCGTTCTCAAACCTGTGCGGACTTCTACCCGATTCTGAGTGGTGTCGCTATTATGAGCCGCAGTGGCATACAGTCGTGTGTAGTGATTACGATTGGAAAATGTTTGGTTTGCTTTACATTTTGGTGGCAAGTAGGTTACATCGCCTGCATCAAATTTGAAGGTGTCAATTCCATAGTTGGTCTTCAGGGCGCCGAGTTCGTCCAGATACCACTTCACTGCGACAGGGTTGCTGAAGTCAATATGACCCGCCATCGGCCCGTTCCACCAAGTCGTCAAAGCAGGTCTTGTCCCAGAAACATCTGGAATCAGCCATCCTTGACTCGCCAGGTATGGAAATGCTTTGGTATCGATATTAACGAAAGGATGGACCCAAAGAGCCACGGCAATATTTTGACTGTGTAGTGTATCCACCATGCTTTTGGGATCTGGGAACGTTTCAGGATTGAAGACCAAGTCCCCATATTTTGGGGTCCAATCGTCATCAATTCCTATCTGACTTATTGTAAAGTTGTACTTCTTGATATCATTGACAAAATCTATTACCTTTGCTTGCGTGATGTTGACTTTATATTTTGCCCATGTTGCCCAGATAGGTGTATGGAACAGCAGAGGATTTGGAGTTCCTTCTGGCTTCTGGATGTACCGGTCTGACAAGAGCTGGTGGATACTCCTGGCATCCTGAGCCATGCATACTGTGTAGTTCAGCTCAGGGAGATTGACGCCACCACTGGAATACCAATACTCATCATATTTAGCCTGGAGACACAACTTCTTATCCCCGGTTGCGTTGATGCTTACAAACAGTGGGATGTCTTCTTCAATATAGATCCCTTGTCCTTCGGAACTAAAGAACATTCGCTCCTGGACAGGACCGTAGTTGTCGGAGAAGTCGCTATCCGTCCCGACGAAGGGCATCATGTTCGTGCTCACCTTCTCCAGCGGCCAGAGTTGTTCTCGGAGTTCAGATGCCCCGTACCAGTGGCCCTTTCCAAGGTCCAAGCAATCGGTCAGGACCTCCGTGACACAGGTAGTAGCTTTCCAAGACACGTCGACACAGTCGGAGTCCCGAAACTGGTAGTTTCTGATTCTCAGATCTGCAGCTCTAGTAACCCTGATGCTGAGAGAGATTCCATCGACACGACTTTGTAGGTCTAGGGATTCTGGCAGATCAATTCCAAGTTGGGCTGAAAGGGGATTGCGTCCATGCATATTCTCCACTTTCATTTCCATGGGGCGAGAGGCAACATTTACGGTTACGGGTCCAACTTTATACAGTGAACGGGTTGGAACGCCACCATTTCTGAATTCGCGTGGTAATTTCATTGATGTATCTGTTTGCTGATTTGACTTTCTGCTTTCAACGGCGAGAAAAGGTGACAATGTGACAGCGAGAAGTAATGCACACGTGACACCCGGTGTCCAGTGGGGATGCATTCTTCGATGCATTCACTATGCAATTTCCTGAAATTGAAATTGAAAAATATCAGCGATTCGGACTTTTGACAACGAACATCTCTTAGTCACTAAAATGGTAGGGTGGAGGGGTAGCCTAGTGGTTCAAGCTTTCGCTCGTCACGCCGAAGACCCCGGTTCGCAAAAACCCGGGTTCGATTCCCCACATGGGTACAATGTGTGAAGCCCATTTCTGGTGTCCCCCGCCGTGTTATTGCTAGAATATTGCTTAAAGCGTAAAACTCACTCACTCACTCACTCACGAAATGCCAATCATTATGATTTTCATGATATCAACATGATGATTATCTTCTATTTTGGGGAGGCACAGTGGTTACAGTGCTAACTTGTACTGGCGTAGATCCGAGTTCGATTCCACGTAACTGGGTCCAGTGTATGAATCACCCATTAACACACCACCAATGATTTAACAGTATTTAACAACTATTGTTGTGTCCAAATAATCTAGTTTTCAGAAACATACAGATTTAATGGGAACCGACTCTGTATGTACACTCAAAATAGCTATAACCGTATACTTACATACATACATACATGCATACATACATACATACATACATACATACATACATACATACATACATACATACATACATACATACACTAAACGTATACATACATACATACATACATACAAACATACACACACACACTAAACGTATACATACATACATACATACATACACACACTAAACGTATACATACATACATACAAACATACATACACACACACACATACATACATACACACACTAAACGTATACATACATACACATACACATACATACATACATACATACACACACATACATACATATATACATACATACATATTACACACATACATACACTAAACGTATACATACATACATACATACATACACACACACACACATACATACATACACTAAACGTATACATACATACATACATACACACACATACATACACACCTACATATATGCATACATACATACATTAAACGTATACATACATACTTACACACACACACACACACACACACACACACACACACACACACACACACACACACACATACATACATACATACATACATACGGCTGGGCTCTATCAGGCATTTCGCAGAGTATGGACCCAAGTGCCTATGGCCTTCATCAACTGGCTAATTCATTCCATGTACAGACGATGCAACGCTTTCATCGATGGCCATGGAGGCCACACACAATGCTGACTTTGGGGTATCTGGAATATTGCTAAAAGCGGCGTAAAACTAAAACTTAGTCAGTCAGTTAATGGAACCATTTTTTGGCGATTTTGTTTGTATGAACTCTAAATGTGATCCCCGAAAATGTGTTAATCATAATGTCAGGTTTGAACTCAATCCTCCGTTTTGATTGTTAAACAGAGTGAATTAAAGTATGTGCTTTAAGAAACCGCTATCGATGCGACATTTCTTTTGTGGTTCACACACACACACACACACACACACACACACACACACACACACACACACACACACACACACACACACACACACACACACACACACACACACACACACACACACACACACATATAACCACCGTTTTATCGCAGTTTTTTTTAAAGATCTTTGACGCTCTCACGCACACGTGCACTCCCTTATGCACATGTGACCGTCCCAGATTAAACACACAGTATAGTGAAGGTCAACACTGTTTTCGATACGTCATATAGGACAACATTGATAACCCACTAGTAATACAGGTCATTTCTATCTCCTTCAATGCCGCTACAAACCCATAACCCAAAAGATTACATGGCAGATTAAAACAACTGACATTAAATATTCACGTTCTGAAAGAATGAGGGGCGGTGGGAAGCCTACACGTGGTTAAAGCGTTCGCTCGTCACATCGAAGACCCGGGTTCGATTCCCCACATGGGTACAATGTGTGAAGCCCATTTCTGGTATCCCCCTCCCTGATATTGCTAGAATATTGCTAAAAGCGGCGTCAAACCATACTCACTCACTCTAAAAGAATGATATAAAAAAAATTCTTTGAAAGCCCTTACCATGGGAAAATTTAGAAACACCTATATTGAAGCAAAGCAGTCTTACCGTGTAGGTTGTTGTTAAGTGAAAAGTGCATTTAAAATACTGCTGGAATGTTTCATGCTGCGTTAAACCGTATTTACACCGTGGTGGTTTCAGTACTATTGGTTTGAGTGTTTCTACTGGCCCATGCAATATTCTGACTACAGGGTCCAAAACTATCGTAGAGCAAAGATTATCGTAACTCCTATCTTTAACATAGACTTACGACAGTCGTAGCACTGCGATAGCTTTCTAAAACGGGCCCAGGGTTCCATTTCACAAAGCGATGGTAGCGCTACGGTGACCGTAACTCCCATAATGTAACATAGACTTACGACAGTCGTAGCGCTGCGATAGCTTTCTGAAACGAGGCCCAGGGTTCCATTTCACAAAGCGAGCAAAGCGTACTAAGGTGACCGTAACTCCCATACTTAACATTGTCTTACGGCAGTCGTAGCGCTACGATAACTTTCTGAAACGGGGTCCTGGACCGTCACACGTAAGTTATCGAATCTTAAACATTTTAGTGATTGATATTACGAGCACCAGGATATTCGGCCTGTTGAACGAAGGATTTAACAGTTAGACTGCAACACTGTCCTAACACAACCTGTCCCGTACCATCACATTGTGCCACTAACATACACGAAGATTTTATTGTTATTATAACAATATTGGCTTTCATAGTTAAAACGTTTCTTGATAACATTGTGCACACCGTTTAAAAATCGACGCTTTGAATATACAATGTTGGATACGATTCCTAATTTTGAATGTGTTTTCTCGTATATTTTACCTGGATATTTGGCTTGCATTTGCATGTGTTGCCACCAGCTGAGGTGGAGACACACACCTTCAACCGATCACCATATATCATGGCTTTGTAAAAGGGATTCCTTAACACATGGTCATGATAAAGTCTGAGCTGTCCAACATTTCGTGTTTTAAGACAGGTGTTTAACACAGCAGCGACGTTAAGCTTCCGCTTCTATATTATGAATAGCAATATTCCAGCAACATCACGGCGGGGGGCACCAGAAATGGACTCCACGCATTGTACCCATATGGGGAATCGAACCCGGCGTGACGAGCAAACGCTTTAACCACTCCGCCCCTACAGAAAATGAAGCGTGAAACGATATACCGTGACTATATATTTTCATCGTTTTTGAATTTCACTCATTTAGAATTATAATTTAATGTTTTTATAATATTCATTTGAAACTATAAGGTTAAATTAGTATTAGTAGTTGCAGAAACACTAGTTTTAACAGCATGAAATATCACTTGGTTTCAAATGGATAATATACTTTTAAATGTTTAACTTTTAGAATTGTCAAAGTGAAAATCTCCTAAATAGCAGAGGTATAGAGATAACGACCTTGATTTTGTTCTATTCGTAACACACTTCCGTTTATGTAAATCTGTCAATGTAGACAATGCACAAAACAAGCCTGAAGTCAGCAACAGCTACGGTACCTGATAAGATTGAGAGAGGAATTCTATTGGTTCCGCTGGTGTCAACGAACTGGCACTTTTCTTCCAGTTTCGAGGTGTTTAGGTTAGATGATAACAGAGTCATGTTTCTTATACAATGGCAGCTCGTCTATTTTGCGACATGGCGATAATATTAAGTCGGCTACAATGGTACGTCACTATAGTAGTCATGTTATTCATGGACAATGCACGTGATTTTTGTGTTTTCGTTTAAATAGTAGCGTTTGGAAATAGACGTGACCTCGCACTATGTACAGCGTCTCCACACCTATATCCATATGGCGACGGTAGCTCAGTGGTTAAATTGTTCGCTTCTGTTCGAATCCAAAATTGGGTGTGATTTGTGAGCCCACTTTAGATATCCCTGCCATGGCAGTGCTGGAATATTACTTCCAACAGCGTAAACTAAACTCACTCACTAACTCAATGTAAACAAACACATTTACCCTGGCCCATATATTCGTCCCTTGGATCTGAGAATGAATTCGATCATAATAGGTTGAATTAATGTAGCGTCACTGTGAACACTGCTTAGCGGTGGATACGACGCGAAAAATGTTTTTAGCAATAATAATGGTAGTAGTAGTGGGTGTAGTAATAGTAGTGGTAGTAGTTGTTGCAGTAGTAGTAGTAGTAGTACTTGTAGTAGTAGTACTTGTAGTAGTAGTAGTAGTAGTAGTAGTAGTAATTTGTTGTAGTAGTACTTGTAGTAGTAGTGGTGGTGGTAGTAGTAACGGTGACGTGGCAGTGGTGGTAGTAGTAGTAGTAGTAGTGGTAGTAGTAGTAGTAGCAGCAGCAGTAGTAGTAGTAGTAGTAGTAGTAGCAGTAGTAGTAGCAGTAGCAGTAGCAGTAGTAGTAGGTAATTAATGAAGTAATAGTAATAAAATGTCAATATGCAACCTGAAATTATTCAAAACTCGAAAAATAAAGTCAAATATACTTATCTCATCAAACAGAAATATGGCTGTCGGGTACAAGGTGTCCCGATCATGGCGTTTTCAGCATAAGCAGGGTATTAAGATGGCGACTTTAGTTAATACAACGGAAAGGTGACATTCGATATATCCTTGTAACGTACATGGACGGACATTTATTACAGAGTAAACTAAACTCACCTGTTATTTGTCTCGTGTCAAGCGGTGCATTGATTAACCGTAAAATGAAAATGACATTTCAATGCAGGCAACTCGTAACGCTTCATGTCATCGAGAACTCGCATCACCGTTCAGGTAGGATATTATATTCAGGTATAACAATAACGAAAGTAGGTTGTTGTGACTTGGCTGTTGTGAAGCACTCACTGCACAGAGGTTGTCTACAGCTGTTTTGAGAACTTTAACAATTAGACTAACACTTAGTCTCTGAATGTATATAATTTTGACTGAAACAAACAATTCGTTTTAAATTGAAAAGTCCCAGTGAGAAGGGAGATT